TTAAATTCATCCATTAAATAGAATGGTAGAAACAAATTTACTCTTTAAAAAAAATAAAAATAAATTATTTTTTAAAATTATTAATAAAAATAAATTATTTATTATTTAATATGTAACATCATTACATACTAAAAATCTATTTGTCATTTAAATAATTTTTAACAAAAAGTTGACATTTGATAATATTACATGTTAAATAATAAGTGATTTATCTAAATCTATAATTTACATGGATAATTTATTTTTATATTTATTTAAAGGCAAATCCGTCTATTCTTTTATTTAAGGGTAAATTTAAGAATTATACCTATACAATTTTAGATTTGATTTGAAAAGAAAAGGATGGAACTCGCCTAGCGGACATTAAAGAGATGGTTAAATGCTCATTTTAGTCCCTTAACTTTATCAGTTTACATTAAAGTATTTTATGCATATTTTTGATCCCTCAACTCTAAAGAATGCATAACGTTTGTCCTTTCGTCAATTTGGGCCGTTAACTCAGCCCACGTGGCATTTTTTATATTTTTTTTGATGACATGGAGAAAACAACTTAAAAAGGTGCTGATCTGGACTTTTTTTTGATGACATATCATCTTCCCGCACCAAAAGCCCCTCCAATGGGTCTCACGTTGCCTGCAAAAACCACCAATAAAGAAAGATGTCTTTTGGGTTTCTCTTTCAACAGTAAAAAAAATCTAAAAACTTATAGAACAGAGATTTTCTTCGAACCCAAACCAAAATTTTCTTTGAGATTGCAAAGATTTTCTCAGAGGGTTATCATGTTTTTCTTATTCAATTCTCCTTTAAAATTCAAACTCGAACCCTACATTTGCTGAGATTCCAAAGATTTTTTTACAGATTTCACTAATTAATCATCATTAAATTATAATTACTTATGTTAATCAAAATTGAGATTCTAAATTAATTTATAATTAAATCACAATTTCGTCATCAAATTTTCTTAACAAAACAGATTGAAACCATTTTCTTAACAGTCAAACACCCAAATTGTACAATTTTCTAGCCAAACAAATGGAAACCCACTAAAAATTGCTTCTTCGCCCATCAGTCACTGCTTCTGTTCTTCCATCACCAGTGATGTTCTTTCCATTTTAGACATTAAAATCATTTAGATAATAGTTAGAAAATATGAAGCAAAAGGATGCCAAAAATCCCTCACAACCTGCAATTTGCATAAACTCTTCGCAACAAATATATAACCAAAAAAAAAAAAAAAGTGGAGCTGGGTTCTGGGTTTGACAGAACCTAGCGTTGGGTTCCTCAAACCTAGCAAATCTGAGTTCCACAGAACCCAACCTGGGTTCCACTGAACCCAGCAGATTTAGGTGCCATCAAACCTAGCAGATGGATTTCATCGAACCCGAGCTGGGTTCCCTTGAACCCAAATCTGTTGGACCCAACAACTCAAAGGAAGAAGAAGAGGAAGAAAGAAAGGAAGATGGATCGAAAGAGGGGAAGGAGATGGATCAAGAAAGGGAGATAGGGGTATTAAGGTAAAATTGTATTTTTTTATTTTTTATTAAAAATATAAATACTAATCTAATTTGGTATATGAGTTGGTGTTGGGATATGTCATCAAAGAAATGTCCAGATCATCACCTTTTAAAGTTGTTTTCGCTATATCATAAAAAATAAAAAATAAAAAATGCCACATGAGCGAAGTTAACGGCTCTAAGTGACGAAATGACAAACGTTGTGCATTTCTTAGAGTTGAGGGATAAAAAATGTACACAAAATACTTTAAGGACCAAAAATGTGCAAATCGATAAAGTTAAGGGACCAAAATGAGCATTTAACCTAAAGAGATTCTCAGATAAAGACAAGGTTAAATCCCCAATTTGGTTTTTGAACTATTGTACGGACCCTCGATTTGATCCTTACTGTTTACCAATTTGCCATAAATTAGTCATTCCGTACAAAAAAAAAGTTGACGTGTCTAGTATTTAACAGTGAAAAATAGTAACTTAACGGCAGAAAACAGTAACTTAATGGCCACGTGTCACATTAATAACAAGACATGTCAACTGTTTTTGTATAGAAGGACCAACTTGGGGTAAATTGGTAAATAGTAAGGACCAAATCAGGGATCTGTACAATAGTTCAGGGATCAAATTAAGGATTTTTTTAGTTAAAGGACTAAATCAGAGGTCTGTACAATAGTTCAAGAACTAAATTAAAGATTTAACCTAAAGACAATTATGCGATGTTAGGACATATAAGCCTCGGTATTAAACAAATCATTAAATTAATTACTAATTATTATTAAATAGTGTAATCTTATTTATTTTACTTATGCATGCATATCAGGTTTCTTAATTCAGTATGTTTAATATTTTTTTGGCCAAAAACAGTAAAACAGTATGTTTAATGATGAGGTAGCCCTTTCACAAAAGTTTTATACGTAGACTTTTAGGGTTTATTCAACATATATTCTTAAAAAGTATTAATCATACTTTTTTTATTAATCTATATAGGAAAATTTGTTGACAAGTATATAATTTTAATTAAATAATTTATAAAATTAAAATCATGGAATTAATATATTGTTAACTTATGTCCCAAAGATATTTATTAGAAAAAGATGTTAGCATATGAAAAGTCATCTTTCTAAAACTTTTTTAAAATGAGCTATTTAAAATTTATATTTTAATTAATATTTTTAAAATTTAATATTATATTAAAAATTTTATTTATTTAAAATATAAATGTTAATTTTAAATTAATCAAACACTTATAATATTTTAATTAAAGAACTCTATTTATTAAACATATTTAACTATATTAAATTTTATATAATTAATGAAGTAATTGTGTCTATAATTAAACTTACTAGAATAATATGAAAATTAGAATTTATGTTCTATACAAATACAATTTTAATATAATAATTAATTTTTAAAATATTAATTAAAAAACAAATCTTTAAACAAATTAAGAAAATTACTTACAAAACACTTTAATTTAAAAAAATCATAACTTTTGTCTAAAAAATCCCTAATTTTTATATAAAATAATAGACATTTATTTTAAAGAAAATTGCAATTATTGGGGGTGTGTAAATCACGTGTTTCGCATTGTCTGGAATTCTGGCAGCACTAATGTCATGTCAAAATCAGTGTTGTGGGAGCCTTCGCCTTTCTTACAAGTTTTACACACCTAAAATATCTAAACTAAGATGACGGATGAATAAGCATAAATAGATGTTTCTACCTTTTATTTTATATTATTTTATTTTTTTCCTAATAAAATAAAATAAAAAATATTTAGCATGTTTACAGCTAGCTATATAGAAATAAATTAATTTGTCCAATTAATAAACAACGTGTTCTCTAAAGCCAAACATGGTTTTTGACCTTTTCATTTTTCATTACGCGTTTTGCTTCTCAAATTTAGTGGGATGGAATAGGAAGAGCTCCATGATTAATTAATTTTATATAAAATAATGTAAAAAATACTATAAAACATGAATTATATTAGACTATATAATTTAACCATTGGATGAAGGTATACTCTTTAATATTAGAAATTATCTCTTTTAATCTAATAATTTTAAATTTATAATTCAGATGGTAAAATAAGAAATTCAAATAGTATTATTATAAGATGCTACTTCTTTTTTCTTTTTTCTTTTTTTCAGTTTTGTTAGTTTAATTATGCATGTACATTTTAAGCAATTGAATTTTTTTTAATAAAATGAAATTATTTAACATGACCTAAGCATATAATTTTTTTAAAATTATTATTCATGCATTATAAAAAAAAATATTGTCTAAACATACTTGCACGATTTTTAAACTTTAAACTTTGTATTTTGAACATTTTCAATTCTTAAATTATTTTTAGCACGGTTATAATATTGTTACCTGCATCCTATTTTCTAGAAGTGACTTTTTTAGTTTTAACTCTATAAATTGGACTTTTTTTCATCCTTTTGTTAGATAAGCGATAATTTGGTGGCTAAACTCTACAAATTACATATTTTTGATGTTGTGGCAATGACACTTTATTAAAAATGTTGAAAATGTAAAGTTTAGGAACTAAAATTAACATTTAACTTTTTCAATATATATATATAGGGAATTTGCATTTGTAATATCGAATTTCCTCTTTGTAGTAACCTCTCTTCTCAATTGAATCATTCCGATATCATTTTCTGGGCCTAAATTCCCAGATCTCCAATTTGCATAAAGAAAAAAAATGTACAATAGATTAGTACTTGATCATTAATAACCATACATTGTACATATATATATATATATATATATATTCTTCTCAAACATGGAAATTCTTACGGATATATGTATATGCATTGCGGTATAATACACAAGCTGAGGTTCTTGGAGAAGATTTGGCCAAGGAAAAAGAAGTGCTAACTCCTTCTAACCATGCAAACAATTTGGTACTGGAACAACGTGGTACTAGATTCTGAATTTTGTCATGCCAACAGGAACATATTCTTTTTATACGCTGTAATGGTCCAGCTGCTCCCAATTCGGCAAAGAAATACAAGGCATCTGCGTGAATTGCCTGAATTAATGTATCTTCCCGTCATCTGAGGAAGATGTAAAAATGGAGATCCATTGTACCCATTAATTGTGCCTAAATATTGTAATCCCAGCTAGCAATTTATAAGTTATTGTGCAGAATAAACAAGAGTAATATAGTGCAGAAAAATAAAAAGAAAGGGAAGAGAAAATCAAGCAGTGATTTATAGTGGTTCCTCCAACCCGGAGTACGTCCACTCCCCAAGCCTCCTTGCTCGAGAGTCCAATCCACTAGAAATCTCTTGCTTACGGGTGCAAGATTAAACCGGAACAAACTCTTGCTTGCGAGTGCAAGATTAAACCCTCACAAGTGAATCTCAACTCACTCAACCCCTTCAAGGATTAACCCAATCCAAGAAGAATACAAAACCCTTGTAAGACAATATACCCAGAAGCTTACAAGAAGAAAAGAAGAAGGAAACCCAGTTTCTGTACCAGTTCGTCCTTCTCCTCTCAGTATTTCCAAATCTGATTTTTGGTGCTTTAATAATTGGTTGGGAGCCTTGCCATTAATTGCCCATTTAGACCTTCAAAGCCACCTCACAATTGCCCCAATTAAGTTCCACCTCACTTTATTATTTTTTACTTGACTTTGGAAAGTGCTCAGACAATGGTTCCCCCAAGGCCCATTAAGAATAAACGGATAGATGAGCTGTCAAAAATTACCCTTTCAGAATTTTTGCTTCGAAGCCAGAAATATTGCTTCAAACCATTTTCGGAAAACAAAAGTCCGAGATTGGTTCGAACCAAAATAAATTGGTTCGAACCCAGAACTCTGAACAAGGAGGAACATGAATTAATTCTAATCGTGGGTAAAGATTAGAAACCTTGGATTAATTTTTCTGCACACTTAGCACAAAAATAGATTAAACTCTTTTGAATCATGATTTAAAATCATCATAAAAATACAAAGAGAACCTAACAAATATATCTTCCTGTAGGTCGTCAAAGGAATACAAAAGGCATCTCCATAACACGTCGGAAGTATTAGGTTCTGATTCCTTCGCTTTGAAATTGGGGGAAGAACCATTCATTTATTTATCGATCTTAGATTAAAATGCTGGCGTGGGCGCATCTAATCTGAAAAATGAAATAATGCTCCACCAATAGAGACATTAAAGATAGATACCAACCCCTCATTAGGATTTATTTATTTATTTATTTTAATACGACAGATGATAAATTATAGTATTCTCTTCTTAAATCTCTTTTTTCATTTATTTTAAAATTTAAATTTAAGATCTCAAAAATAGACATTTAAATTTTTAATCGTTGAAATGTCTAATAGAGGATTAGGATTTACTTTTGTTAATGCAACTAACAAAGAAAAAATATTGGCGGAGAAAATAATTTCACAATATCAAGAACTAAGTACAACGTATAAAACCTTTTACAACTTCTCTAACGGGGATATTTATTTACCTAGTCTTCTATTACAACGTGATTAGGGGACCTTGGGATTTTCTCAAATAACCCACCCTTGCTTCCACACGGACTGGAACTTCTTAATACAGGTCTGGCCCAAATTCTAAGTTGGGCCTGGTGGGTTTTCTGTTGGCAATAATTCTACAACTCATCAACTCTCCTTCTTTCTTTCTTTCTTTTTTTTTTTTTTTTTTTTTTTTTTGAGCATGGGAATACAGGAAAGGGAAGTTGAGTTTACAAGGATTTGAATCGAAATCTTAACCTTGGCATATCTGCACCCTATCCAGTGTAACAAGTGTTGCTGGTGCACTCATAAACTCTATTTAGTTTTGTCGTTTTGAATAAATTATTGTAAATTATAATTAATATTTAATGGTTGATAATGTTACAAATATAAACAAAAACTATATCAACTATATATGGCTAAACCATAGAGAGCCTTAGGAATATGAATCAGATCTGTTGAGAAGTGATTCATAATGATCAGGTCGATCTTGAACTTGTTCCGGTGTGAATGAAAGTGAGAACGGGGAATATAAATATATGTGTTATTAGTGGTAGAAGTTCTGCACAAATTAAGGTAAAAAGGAACGGGCCATAGATGGTGCCATTCTAGATGCTAAAGCCATCTTTCTTTCACATTTCTGTTCCTCCACCAAATAACTTGTGTTAGATCTGAATATATTCAACAACTTTTCTTTTTGTTTTTTATTTATGATCAGGAGTCTCCATATTACTTTTTGTGAACATCTTGAAATTAATCTCTTTTTTTTTTGAACAAAAAATTAATATCTTTTTAAGCGATTTTAAAGACATATCTCTCATATTAACTTAGAACATTTAAGAAAATTAATTTTTTTAAATATTGACTCTAAACTTAAATTATAAATTTGGGAAGACATTTATTTACTAATAGATGCAACCCTAGGAGTTTGGACATCAATGTGATATTAAACGCCTAATTAATGTGATACTAAAAGCCTAATTGGGCTACACAAACCATTGCCACTGATGCAGGCTATTCTTCTTATATGCATGTGTTGGCACTCAAACAAGAGTGAATGATGACCTTAGGACCATAGTCTTCTACGGACAGGAGTAGATAAAAAAAA